AAATGATCTCTCGTGCAAAATTATAGGAGAAACGTGACACGAAGATTTCTCGAATTAAACAAAAATTTGCCTAATCTACGTGTGTGTGTATATTTTTGAAAGCGAGAAATTTCGTTTCGTATTATTTCACGGAGTAAAATAAAGAGAAGAACGGTTGTGTCCGTTTGTCAAGCACACCGCTTCACGAAGAGCTCGTTGCATTCGATTAAATTTATCTCGTCATTTTGCACAGCAGCCTCGATTACAAATTGTACGACGTTTCTTCGGTAGGAACGTAAATTTATATCTGCATGTCGTTACTATGCAAGTCCAGGTACGCGAAATGCATCAAGTATAGGATTAATGAGACCATTTTAATGTCGCTAAAAGCACCAATTTGTTCCCAGAATTAGAATGCATTTACAAAGGAAACGCATTGCCGTCCTGTTTATCTGGTAAACTCTCTCTCTCTGTTTCCACGATGTGTCTTGATATCGTCGTTCCATTTATTACACATCACGCGAACCATAATCGTTCTGTTCTCTAATTTTATCAACTTATTACGTATACGTAATAATTGTTTCCCCAACGCGAGAAACGCGAACTATCGACGCAGTGGCCGTAACGTTAATTTTTCGATAACGTGCACATCTCTTTCTCTCTCTCTCTCTCTTGCCGGTGATATCGTTACCTCGTTATTACATATTTTTCTAATTATCCACCGAGCGCATTTTCACGCGATTTACCGTAGATTTTCATGAATTCTAATACCAAATTTCCTCGCATATTTTTCAACACGGTTTCTTACCACTAACTGATTCATTATGTAGATTTAATAACTGTTATGCGGTAAATAACGAGTGTAATAGGTGTTTCTAACATTCTCAATTACGTTTCAGACGTTATTTTCGATAATGAGCGTTATATAGTGGCTGCACCTCGCTGTAACGAGTAACTGTAGATTTTCCAGGGAAATAAGTTAGCTCTACTGCGATTATGATCGTCAATGAAACTCCGCACGTTGCAGAAAACGACGTAGTGTAATTTTTTAAGTAATAATTACTTGTGACAAGTGCACCAATTTTGCCACTGCAAAAACATAGGAAAAAATCGCAGTATCGTTAGTGTAACATAAAATAATTTAATTGTTTATTATTTTGCTAGATAAGTGTTCTCTCCATTGTAAGAAATGCGAGATTCCGGCGGCGAAGTGGTGGTCTGGACTTTGTAAGCGCGCGGGTACCTGAGGGTGCCATAAACTAAGCCCTTTCCCCGGAAAATCGAACGAGGGGGCTCCAACGGTTTTTCGGAGCAACGTGGGATACGACGCGGAAAGGACATTCTGGAAATAGCCGTCGCGCAAGACGGACGCCAGAAACCTTAAGAATCGCCTAGGAATACAGAATAGATTATTTTTGGGATACCACACTATCCTGACTTTAATTCTTTGTTTTCAAGTGGTGCTTACACCATGAAAACTGTTGGATTATTTCTAACAACACCCTATGGAAATAATCAAGTGAGGACAAAAATGTCTCCGTGTTATTTTAAACAAAGGCACTAAGTCTTCCACCAGATGTGTCTGGTGTCCGTCTTCGAGTCACGCACTGCACAATGCGAGTTCCTAGGTATAAGGGGACCCCAACTTTCCTTTTGGGTGCCCAGAAACAGCCCTTTAGAAGATTCAATAGCGTAAAGACGTTTCCTCTGAGTCCGTCAATAAATAGCATATCACAAAGTTAAAAGACTATTTCATTTTCATAACCCATTTCCAATAAAAACAAACAATTAGTTCGTGAATTGTGGGCATTTTAATGTGTGATTTGGTGATTTTCTTCAATTTTGAGAAATTGATTTTATTCAATTTTGAAAAATTGTTCAAAAACATTATTAAAACTAACGACAACAGAATTTTATAATCTACTATACACCTTCTTTGCGAATTAGATCAGTTTTGTACCTGTAAACAATTGACCTTTCCTCGCGTTTACGCTGAGGCAAGTATTTACTCGATAAATACTGCAGTAGGAAAATCAAGATTTGCTCACGAGAAATATAAGATAATTTCTGTAACACCAAAACGAGAATTTGCAGAAATATCGTCGCCACGTGTACATAGTATCTCGAATAAAAAAGGACATGAATAACAATTTTTCTGCCCGCGATACTGTGAAAATTTCAAAAATTTCTCGCTGTGTCGCATATCTATGTTGCAAAAATTTATACGAATCACTTAACTACAATACATCTCAATAAATTTTTCGCTAATGAAACTGCACATTTTCAATTATTTTCTTTTTCAAGAAAATTTGTGAAATTTCTTACCGTGTGTCACATACGTACATTGCGATAATTTATACGAGTCACTTAACTATAATACATCTCAATAAAATTTTTTGCTAATGATACATACATACCTACACATTTTCAAGAAAATCTGTGAAATTTCTTACTGTATGTCACATATACATATATGTTGTGATAATTTATACGAGTCACTTAATTACATCTGCGATAATCGCAGAGAGATGTAATAAGTACATACATGTTTCAAACGTAGAACCTGCTATTTTCGCGTTCGTCACGCGAAATCGTTTATTTTTGCTACAAAAGTCCCGCAACGAATCGCTGAAAAAAAGAGCGACGACCTTATCAATTACTCAGTTCCCATAACTCCGAGCTGTTATCAAACATACACGAGAAATGCGCGTGCAATTCACAAGTATCAGTCGTGTAACTATTGCGTGCTACAAAACGTTACGGTTCTCTTCTTTTATTAAACAGTTACAGTCGATCTTGACAAAGTGCCGGGCACGATACACGATATACGTATGTACACAGATATACAATATTCTCATTGAAAAATAAAACCGTGCATCGTATTCGAAATGAAAACAAAACACAAGCAGAGAGATTAAGCGCTTGTTATTAAATAGCCAGGTCGAATTATATAATAACGAGATAAACCCTTGCATGTCTGCGGTTTATTTATAAATCTCATTATCTCGCTGGCCAATTTCAGTAATACATATTATTTCATATTTCACGTCTGCCGGCAAACTTTGCCCAATAATTAACATGTACAAGATTAATCCCTGTCTTTTCTCATTTTGTATTTTATCAAATGTGTACTAATTTTTTCTTACTGGCTTAATTATACTATTAATCGAGCTGTAATTAAGTTGTTAAACGACCAATTAGATTCTCGAATTTTTTGATACACGTTGTTTTCTTTTTGAGAGTATTCATTTCTCGAGATTCTACTCCATTTCAATGAACAGCCACTTATTTGGAATTTATTAATCGATTAGGGAGGCTTCGTTAGGTTAGATTAGGTGAATACTTGTGTCGTAGATAACAGGAAAGTTACGAATAAGTACAATGAAAACGAAAAGGAAATGTTTCAAAGGACAGCAAAAAAAAAGTTAAATTTTTATTAAAATAGTAATTTCGATTTTTCGTGGATTTTAGTGGATCTGACTTTTGGTCCACTCGGTACAATTTCGTTGATATCTTATAGGCTCGAGAATGAAACATTGAAAACGTATGATACGCACACGATACGATCTTATCAGTTCACTGCGATTCTGAAAGTTGTACGCTTATCGTACAATGCATAATGTCGTTCACAAATTCTATTATCGTGTTCAATAATGCATATTACGTTGTGAAGTTTATACGTATTCTAGAGGGGAATGTGTATGATTTATCAAAGATCTGATACCGAAGAAACTATTCAAGTTGTAGATAAATAGGATGTCGGGATGAAAAGTTTTTCCTATTGATTCTATCTCTATCCACGTCCTTCACTTATTTTGTTCAACCAACGAGACCGGTAAAAATGAGAGCGACTGTTTTTTACCCTACGCGCATGCTGCACTCGTGTTTTATGAAAAATGAAAAGTGTTAAATAAAAGAGCGCAATATCGTTTCTCGTTCCCTTTTATACCATGTATGTATTCTCTTTTTTTATATACTTAATCTGTCAACGTGATAGAAAATCCTAGCATTGGTAAAAGAAATAGTACAGCTGAAAGTGCTTCCTTAAAAAAAAAAAAAAAAAAAAATACGGAAAATAAATCGATCTTTACGAAGCTGACGTTACTCACAATTATAAATGCGTCTTAAGTCGTTTTGTTTAATAATTGTATGTGAAAAATTACACATTCGAGAAAGAGAAAATGGCTAATTAGAAAATTACACTGAACGTTTGTTGAAAATCCAAATATTTTAGAGTGACTGCAGTAATTCATTTATTTAGTAATAATATGCAGAGGATCCGACGTTAAAAAGGGAGAAAACGAGCTAATTATAAAAGCTGCATTGAATATTTATTAAAAATTACAGCAGTTAAGAGGAAACATTTATCGCTGAAATAACGTCGAAAAAAGCGTTTCCATTGATTTCAAGGTAACCCAAATTTTTATCTGACACAACAATACCATACGTCAATGATTTTCAACCTGTGTGCCGCGAGAGATCCATAAGTATGTACGAGATTTTTCAATTCGAGTTAAAAAAGCAACGAAAAAAATATTGTTTTCCTTTTTTTCTAAATCAGTATAAAATGTACACTTTTCTGTGAATTCAGTAAATCAGTATACAATGTATACTTTTCTATCAAATCAATCAAAAAATCTAAAACATTCTTCGACACACTTTACAATTCTAATAATTAATTTGCACGCAACGCGAGATAAAAGAGATTAAAAATCGCTGCCACAAGAGATCGCTCGAAGATGTCCCCAACATTAGAAAAACTCAAAAATCGTCAATTTCCCATCTTCGATCTACAATCTGATCGTTCATCGAGAAACCGCGATCCACGGCGTTGCGTAGACGATGCAACCTTATCACCTGTTAGCTGCAAATCGCTCGTATATCAGCCACGTTGCAGATACGTGCAAATCTCGCGGTATCTCGCTAGCGATGCGTCGTTATCAGCGAAAGCGCGACGGTCCGAGAGTCGAACGTGAACGAAGTCGATCGCGGCGGACGAGGAGCCACTGTCGGTGAGTAGGAAAAAAAAAGCGACGAAACAAAAGGTGCGCGAAGGATAATGCGTGGAAAGGAGATAAAGATAATGCAAGGGAGCCGGAAACGAAGGGAAGACAATAGACTGTCGAATATCCTCTCTCTCTGTGTGCCAAGTCACCGGTCTTTTGTCTACGTTTCACGGCTACGTCCACGAAAGCGTCACAGCGGGAAGAAAAGAATCTGGATCGCGTAAAAGAGAGGTAGTGACGTATCCGCGGACCGCGACGAACAATCATTTTTAACGACCGAAACGATCCAACGCTCGATCTGTCGTAACGAAAAAAGTGATCAATCAGCCAACGTTGAAACATCCTCCAACCGCAACGAGATCGTTTCGCATTGTGAGTCTTCTCTCTCTCTCTCTCTCTCCCCTTTCCAAACTCATTTTACCAAGTATCTCTGTGTTTGTGTGTGTGTGTGTGTGTGTGTGAGTCTGTGTATTATGTTTATTATTTAGATAGATATGAATTAAAGATTTTTTCGACGAACGAATTTATGTGCTCGCTTTTGGGTGGGGAGTTTGGTTAGGTTATCAAGAAAGAGGAAAATGGTTTCGCGATGAACACGTTGCGTTATGTACAGTGACAAACCAGATGTACTGATTTATTCGGGAAAATAGTGATTTCTATTTTTTGTGAAATTTGTGCTGATTTTGGGGAGAATGGGTTGAACAGAATATTAAAATATAAGTAAATTCCATTTTTTCTTTTAGTGTAATATCTTGGTAACTCTAATTTCTTCGAAAACTAAGCTTCTTGTGAAGAAATCTTTTTCTCTATTGTATTTTATTTTTTGCTGATTTTGAGAAGAATCATTCGACCAAGATATTCAAGTATAAGTAAATTCAATTTTCTTTTTAGTATAATTTAGTGTGATACCTTGGTACCTCTACTTTTTCCAAAATCCAAGCTTCTTTATTATTCTTTATTTTTCGTTTATTTTTGCTTGTAGAATTGCTCTTTGCCCCAGGTTCTACCGTAAGAAAAGAAAAAAGAAAGTGTTGTATATTAGGAAAAAGATACAAGCTCGCTGTGAAATAATTTCATTCGTATTTTAATTGCTACAGGCATAAAGGTTGTCGACTTGTAACGAGTTTCACGAATCACCCTGTACCGAGTTGGGGCGAATGAACTTCACGAATGTCGGATCTGAATGAGCTTCTCGTGCGTTGCGTGGAAATGACAAGTGCAGAAGGGATTGAGTGGTTGTTCGGGGTTGAAATTCGGTTTCAAGTGAAATGCGCGTCTGAATGAAGCCTGGAAATGCACGTGGTGTTTCAGGCGTAAAAAGATGCGCGGGAGGTTTATGTGTGTGTGTGTGTGCAATGCGTGATCATTTTAGAGGTGTAGATGGAATTGCAGAACGAGCGATATTTAATGAGAATCGAAGAATCAACGAGTTCCATGCATAATGATCGAAAGTGGCAAATTTTCAGTTTCCAAAAATTCAAACGTGGAATGAAAGATTGTTACAATGTTCTATGAATTAATCCTCTATCGCACGGTGTGACTTGGAAATTACGTATCTTATTTATTAGATGCAGAAATTAATTTTTCGCCTTTTCATTTAAAAAACTTTAACGAAATATGTTCTTTTATTAATTTTTGCTTCTGTCAAAATGTAAAGTTACTATTTCTTCCTGTGAAGGGAGCAAAATTGGGAAATTAATTTTAAATTAAAAATTGTCCTATCCGTTTCATATTTTTTTCTTTTGTATTTTCATGTAGGTGTTATTTTCAGTTTTTTTTTTCATTTTAATTTTTAGCCAGCTGCTTGTGCTTTATTTAAATATAATTATCATATTTTTTAAAGTGAATTCTAGCTTAGTACGGTCGCATTAATTGCTCACTTTTCTACTTTTATTCCTCGTACAATGTTTGCCGATGGCCCCATTACATTTGTGGGAAGTAGATTGAATATTAATGAAGAACAAACGTGTGAATCGGGAATTCGTTTCCCGATATTCTCGCTTTCCAAACTGAATTCTGATGTGCCGTTTACCTTGATACTTGTGAACTGTCACTCTCAAACATCTCCATTGTTAAACCAGTTAACTTACGAACCTATGTATCCCTTTTATTTTCATTGTTAACACACACACACACACACGCATTCGAAGTATTATCGATATGAATCTTCAAAGTTTATGGCGACACAAAAAAATTTTTATCAGATTGGTAATTAACGTTTTTTTGAACAGAAAAAATTCAGATAGAAATTTACGTATCGAAATAACTCTAAAATTAACATCTCTCGAATGATACATAGATCAATAAAAATAGTCAACAAATACCTTTACCATGAATAAAAAAAGAAGTTACAAAACACAAATTACCGAATTTACTTGCCAATCTAATATATACAATTTGAACTGTTTCAAAGGGTGAATAAGATGGAAGATCGATATTTTTTTAGCCACAATGCAGCTAGAGAAGCTAATTAGGCCACCCTATTCCAAAAATCCAACCATTGCTGTTCTACTTCAAAAAAAAGAAAAAACCTTTCTGACTTTTCAAAGATTGCTTCTTTCAATTTCAACAGAAATGTACACGGTGTGGTGTACACACGTCGCATTTCATTTCCTCCTGCTACCCTTTTCTCTCCTTTTTTTTTTTTTTAATTTCAATGAAATACTTCAGCGGCAGAGATAGAAAATGCACTGTTAGAGATACCGAGAGATGATCGATTTTACCATGTTTGCCGAAGCTAGGTTGAATACTAATCAACCTACCCAAGGTATTTCAATATTCTCTCGTTTCCACTCTCACCCGCCATTTTCTTCCCTCTTTTTTTTTTTCGTTCCTCCCCCGTTCGAAATCCAATCCAAAAGCGGTCGCGATATTTGAACACCACCCCGATGCTCACTATAACCCCGGTGTTAGAGTGCTTCAAAAAATCATCGACTTCGTTAGAACGCAAATTTAGTCGCGTTTCTTCCTTTTTTTTTTGGGAGGGGGGCTCTATCTCGATATCTTTGTTCCGTGGCCGCCGCCGCCGCCGCGCGCGCGCGCGTTCCATTCGAATTTCATAGCGTCAACGTTTCCTATCGGTGAACGGATATGAAACTGTCGGACACGTGAGCAAATAGCAAAACCAAGCTCGGGAATACATGTATTAACCGAGCCCGCCGGAACGGTGAAATGTTTCAAGCGCATTTTAATGTTTTTCACTATTTACACGGGATTTTGCTTTGTCATCTATAGCAAAAAGCAAACGGGACGGTAGGAGAAAGCTTTTCATCGCGGTTAAAACTTGGTAATCGATTGCTTGTATTTTATGACACAATTCGCGTGGAATTACGGGATACTTTTGCTGTTGAAATTTTGCAACTCTCTCTCTCTCTCTCTCGGTTCATATTTTCCCGCGCGTCGTATCTCATTTGTATTTGTTTCTTTTTTCTTTCTTTTTTGGGAGCATTCCAATTAAAAATTCTTTTATCGATTGCTTTCTGTTACACGTGTTAACGTTACACGCGCGATAATTATGCCGGCTGAACTAGTGCAGAAACATTGAGAATATATTGCTTATTCATAATTTCACACCTTTTCCTTTACCGACGTATTTTACTAATTCTTTATTCATGCTTCTCGCGAAATATATCCTAAAGAATTTCGTAAAAACGTAAAATTCACGTTGAAATTTCTAAAATTTTTATTATTCGCGCTATGGGAAAATTGTTATACTGAAATTTGCGTTTCATACAATGCACCTTTATGAAATTGAAACGAATGATTCAGCACGGTTCAGAGGTGAAAAATAAATGACAGGAGTCAGTGGAATGGAGAAAGTTTCTTACGTAAAGTACAGAGACATTTTGTACATATTTGTTTGAGTCTTACGCGTACCGATAGTTTGGAAATTGCTATCTCTCTCTCTCTTGTCTGTGTGCTAAAAATTGCAGCATTAGAAAGTGAATACTTAACCTATAATTTTTGAATATTTTTGTTGCCTATAAATTGTGTTGAAACAATTTTCTCGATAACTGATAAAATAACAAACAACGGTACAGTTATAAAATTAAGAAATACAAATTTTTATATATACATAAATTAGCTGAAATTGTGTTTAAGTAAAATTTAATATTGTTTCAATGAAGTTTCTGGAATATCATCACAGTGTGACGAAAGTGAATGTACAACTTCATTTTAAATAATTTATTTATCCATTCTTCATATATGAATAACTTAATTTGCAAAACATTTAATATTAGCGCCACACACGTTCATCAACGTGCGGATGAAATTTTCTATGAAAATAATATTCTGAATAAGAATTTATCTGGATTGCGTTCAACGTTAATATGAATCTATTTCCATAGCTGATTCTGCATAATTTGTTTTAACTAGGTATAGAGAGAACGATAAAAAATATTTAGAAATTTAACCAACGAATAAATCTAACCTAAAAATATTTTAATATTATTTCTTTATTTTTATTCCTCTTTTTTTATGTACAATAACAACCGTAATTAAAAAAATAAAATAATCTGAAAGAGAAAAAATTTTCAACATTTCTAACTGTAAGAAACAAAGAAAAAAACTAACGATAAAAAGAAATATAATAGCAGTACATAATGCATTTACCGTGCGTGTTGTGTTGTAGAGTGCATATAATCGTAATGGCGGTAATTACTGCTCCTGACAATTATTCTTGCGATATAATACGGAAACGTATATCGCAAATGTACATCATAATGGGAATTTAATCGCACAAAAAATTCATTAGAGAGATAGTTAAAGATAGTGGAGCGCGCGCAGCTCGCCTTTCAATTTTCTCGCGTTAAACACCGCGGAGAATTCGATAAATTCGAAACAACCAGCACGGCAGAAATTCCGCGGATAAATGAAAGACAAAAACGAGCCGTGGCGAATGTATGACCCAGTTGAAACAATTTATCAGCGCTACAAAGCGTGCGGCTCGCTCTAAAAAAGGATAAATAACAGATAACGAGGGATAAGCTGCAGGCCAATTTATCGCTACCGTCAACAATTTCGCAGAGTGCAACGTGCAAATGGATCTTTATGCAGATGCATCGCGCAGCACTGGTGTAAATAAGAAACACGGACCGTTGACGTTTCGCTAATGAATTTTACTTACAAACCAGTTTTCAATAGTTCATCGGAAACGATACCGATACGCGGAATAGTGAATTTCTCTTACGTTCGACCATTCAACGTCATAGTCACTTTCGTGTTAAAAACGAATGACACACGCGTATCTTTAGAACACGACGACGCACGGGCGATGCAGTGGCATTCTCCATTCGTTTCGAACGAGTCTACCACTCGATTTCGAGTAGAAATAAAATACTACGTGAAAATATCGAAACGATTGAGCTGTTTATTTCATCGACTGTTGTTCGTGTGTTAACCATCCGATTAAACAATTCGTTCGTCTAGTCACGCGAAATTAATTTTCTAACCGTTTAGTTGTCATTACTTATTTCGATCACATTCGATTACCTTTAAAGGAATGGGTATCGAATCATATAGATTGTTCTTGAAATCTCACCTTATGCGTTCAACATACGCGTGAGATACTTTCTGTTGAATATCTTGTATTTCTTTTCTGAAATATTCACCAAGAGAGATTGTAGTCGATGAATTTAATAACCAAAAAATAACAAAAGCCTGTGGTAATATGAGAAACAAATGTGTACACAACCGTTTCAATTTGATCGCGTACTGCATTGGCGGATCTACTAGATTCGCAATTGTCAGGGTCTCTCCTTCACCCAATAGTGATATTAGAACCACGTGATCGTAGGATCAAACACGCACGCGCAGATCATCGAGCGGGCGGTTTACTGCCAATCTTGCACGTGCGTTCAAATGAATCTAGTTGCGTTCCAGTAGTTTCCAGTATCTACGAAGGATTTACAGTGCTGTCGTCCGTTACGACTGTTGTACCAAGAAACTAGCAAAAAAAAAAATAAATAAAAGTGAAGAACCACGTGAACCGGTGAGTGATCGTAATCTATCCAACGTCAAGTTAATCGAACCGAAAAATGTCGAAATCGAGAGTATATACACCAGTCGTGACCGACCCACGTGTGATGAGAATACTGTTTTACATACATATATACGTGACACGATTCGCTGCGGCCAACGTGAAACGCGTGTTACGTAGACGTCATAGGAACGCAAAAATCCACGAAATATTCAATTTTCTTATTGGTAAATGCATCCTCTGCGAAATAAGATACCAGCTGTTAGCATGTCAATTTTTCATCGTTGTTGGTGTACCGTAGCTTTTGTCAAATTTCTCGTATCGGCATTAATATAAATAAACTTCCGAAGTGTGCATCTGTGTGTAGCTTTGTTTCTAGTAAATATTTTTATCGTCTCGTTCTTCGCGTGTTTCGTCATACGTTTGCGTTGAATAAAAAAATTGTCGCATGTCATAGGAAATAAAGTTTCAGTTGGTGAATAATTTGTTAGTTAATTGGAAAAGCTAAGATAGTCGGTGGTATTAGATAAGTCTTCAACTGTTAGTCTTTTGTTCTGAAGTATTTGTGTACTGTATTGAATTTCAAGGTCGACCTTACCGATACCGTGTATAATCTTCTACTCTACGTACGCACGTACCAAAATATCTCGCCCTTGTACAAAAACTGTGAGCTTGTTCCAAAACATTTGCTAAAGGAAAATTCAAGATAGAAGTTTATGATTTACATTCTTAGAGATTTAGATATATTGCTGTTATTTGAAAATTCATATATTTTTGAATAATAAATTTTCTTTAGTAACAAAACTAAATAATTATTAACAATATAGTTGTTATTAATATGCATCTGCAACAGATTCTAAATATTATATATGCATAACTCTAAGCTTTATGTAAATATTAGATTGTTTAATCAAAATTTTAATATATTGTTTACAGATTATTAATTTGAAAAAATGGTGTCATCAACAACAATAGTGGAAAATGGAAAGTCCAGCCCACCAAGGAAGCCTTGCGCAGCAGGGATTGGTGCAGGCAACTATCGTTTAGTTGGCTGGGATATGGATACTACAGGAAAGAAAGTTATAGATGAAATATGTCAAATAGCTGGTTACACACCTAGTTCCTCATACTCTCAATATGTAATGCCATATAAAGATCTCAATCCTCCAGCTATGAAGAGACACAACATGAAAGTTGTAACTATTGGCAAATTTCGTGTACTTAAAGATAATAAAACAAATAAGGTAATTAACCAACCTAATTAAAACCAAAAAATTAATATTTCTATATTTGATTATATTATATTTGATCCTTTCTAGGTTTTGAAAAGTAAAAGTGAAGTGTCTGCATTAGCAGAGTTTCTAACATGGCTAGAATCAATTAGAGGTGATGCTACAGATGGAATAATATTGGTATATCATGAACCACGTAAAATTATTCCTGCTATGTTGCTTGAATCTTTAAAGAAATATAACCTTCTTGAAAGATTTAAAGAAATTGTAAAAGGATTTGCAAATGGATTTAATATTGCTGAAGTGAAGTGTGCAAGCACAATTCATGCCTTTACTCTTAGAACATTATCGCGAACTTTACTTAATCAAGTAAGCAAACTTTACTTTGTAAAATGGATAAGTTTTTACATGTCAATCAATGTAAGGTATTTCATTATAATAGATTTTAAATAAATTTATTATTATTTAAGGAAACACAGTTAGATAATGCAAGAGATAGAGCATATCTAGCTTTACAAATAGTACAACATTTAAGTTCATTGGAAGTTACAAAAGGAAATGAAGCAAATGGTAGTGGTGATAGTGATAGTGCCATGAATAAAACTGTTGAATTCATTAGGGAATTTATTCAACCGGTAGAAATGGAAGAACAAGAATATGCAGGTATATAAAATAAGTTATAAGAACTGTATTATAAAATTTTGATTTAAAAAATATTATTGTGCAAAAAAGTAAATATAATATGTGTGTTGATCTTATTTCAGAATTGAAAGTAGTATTTGAACGTCAAAACAGTTTAAAACCTATTTTCGAATTTTTCTTCCGCATAAATCGCCGGGAACGTCAACATGCTAGTCCTTTACGGCGGTTGCTTGCTGAAGCAGGAATCGAGTATACCCAGTTACAAGTTTGTATACTTTTAAAAAATTATTTCTAATTAAATTGCATTAGAAAGACATATCAAACCTACAAGATTACATTATAAAATGAGAGTAAAAAACAAATTGTACACATTACAGGAAGCATGGAGTAATGGAAAGAAAGAAGGTTTAGAGAATTTAATTAAAGAGAAATTAACTACAATTGAAGAGAAGAAAGTAGAAGATTTATTATTTGTCCTTGAAAGTCATTTCGATCCTGATAAGAAACCCCAATTAAGAATATCGGGAGACAGAACAGAGATAAAAACACAAAACTCGAAAATCATTGACGACAAAGAAAATAATAATAATAAATGCGATTCAAGTACCGAAAGTCCGGACACCACTACTTCTAGTTCACCGCCTAAAATAAAATCCGAACCTTCTGAGAACAGTACAATTATAGCAGAGGAATAAGTATCGAACGATTCGGTTCTTTCCTTTCAGTACCTTTTGACTAATTATAAGATCAATATTGTTATCAGTAACTGAGTTTATAATCATTCCGTTCATTCTTATCATAACGTTATTCAAGTGTGATAAAACGTGTGAGTGTTATTTGTTGCAGTATTGTATTTAAGTTTTTATTTCCGTTATAACAAAGTATATAATTGTGTCCTTGTAGGATACAGAACACGACTTATTTAACAAAAACATGTACAAATAACACATTAATTATTATTCTTTTTTTAGTTTATGATAAAGAAATATTTAATATTTGTTTTGTTTAACGTTTAATTTTATGCTCATTGATTTTTATTTAAACAGATTAACATTGTAACGAGTGATTGTTTAGAGATTGTCGACACAGAAATCAGACGCTACACAATTGTTCGTTTTTCATCATTTCTAAGATTAGCATATGATGTTCTCTTTTTTTTTTACTTAAAAAGTGAGTTTGCGTACAAAGTACATAGTGATATTAAAAAATATATAATATATTTTTGTACCACAAAGGTTTATTAAAACGAATGGTGCACTTTGCTGCACATAAATGTTAAATTTCGTTGTATTGAACAATTAAATAAAGACTTCAAATTGTAACGTTTTGTTTCGATTATTAACAGATACTTACGGTACTGTTTTATTTTCATTCGTCTCTGTTTTTGTATCTCGAATCAGCGCAGCCATCGAGATAAAGCCAGAAATGAATTAAATATATGAATGCCTATGCAGTGGACCGTTGTATCCGCTTATGGACTTCCATAAAGCATGCCAAACGCCTCGAAGCGTAAACAGGCTGGTGCACCGCGTAGAAGATTAAAGAAGTAGTTACTTGCTAAGAAGAGTATCGACGTACTCAGATCCCTTTAGAACTAGGTAAGGCTTAACTGTTTGACGAAACTTTACGAAAGGAACTTGTCGCATTCATCGAAAATTTCTGGCTACTCGACAGAGCGTGAAATACAAAGGATTTTTCCTACTATCTTCTTTCGATCCGTTGAACTATGACAGGGTATATTGAAGTCTTCGGAACTTTA